TTTTAAAAGTTGCATAAAAAATTAATAGGACCATTAGATGAAAAACAAAACAATTGTTGAAAGTTTGTATCTTTTCATTTAAAACTGAAAAATTATCTGAAATACACAATTAAAAAGATTGAAGAGAAAATATAATATTATTAGAATTTTATTATAATTAAAAGATAAATAAAACACTAATTCCAAAGTGCTGCAATCTTTCAAAATTATTCGGTTACTAATCAATATTAAATTTTCTATATATTATTTTAAAAATTAATATATATTAAATGTTTAAAAAAGTGAGAATATATAAATGATTTGTTAAAAATATGTAACTGATATAGTTAAAAATATTGAGGATAAAAATAAATTATTAGTCAATATTTATAATTAAAAGGTATAAAAATTAAAGCCAAAGTTATGCAATCCTTCAAAAGTATTAGATTTTTTATTATATAAGATAAGTAAAATATAGTAAGGAAATAGTAAGAAGAAAGTGATATAACCTTTCAAATTCTTTTTAGTAGTTTTGAAAACAGTAATAGAAGATATGTTCTACTCAAAATATGAAATTTTCAAAAGAAAAAGAATATGAATATTAAAAATATTATAAGTGTAAAGGTATAAAATGATGATTTAATATGCAATTTTCCAATTTTCCATATCTTTCATAAATAAAAGTACTATGATCATAAAAAGAATTGAAAGTGAAAAGGTATATTACAAAAATGATGATGAAAAAGTTAAAATCTTAGTTATATTTTCTAAGACAGTTATATAAGTGAAAAATACGGATATATGAAAGACTTAACCTTTTAAAATAATATTTAAATATTTTTCTAATAAATAATCAATATGTTTGTTAAAACATGATCAATTTAACTAATGATAAATATTTTGGTAAAAGATAGGTTTAGGGAAGCAAATGATGGTTATCTCGAAAAACATAAAATGCGTCATAATCTTTAAAACTAAATATAAAGTATATATTGCACTCCTAAATAAAATATATCAAATTCCAAAACCCAGAAATAGCGATTTAAATGTGAAACAGATAAATAAAAGCCTGAATTTGTTGGTTGACAAAATATATTGTTATTAAAAAAAATATATATATATATATATATATATGTGTGAAAAGACATAAAAGCTATTATTATTATTGACAGAAAATACATAAGTTTTTATTTTCTTTGTGAGTGGTATGTAATTCTACATTATTTTAGTAGTATAAAATGGATATTTTTTTTTGTAAACTATAAAATGGATCTTCCGAATTATAATTTGAGATTATGTAGCTAAAACCTACAACTGAAAAGTGATGTCTTGCATATTTTCATTGTTTCACTCATTCATCCATGTGCATTTTGATCATATAAACTAGGATTTAGTCGTTTTTAGGTTACATTTTGCATACATGAGTCTTTATCAGGTGTTGGAGAGTGCCATGGAGTGATTTGAGATGTTTGGGAGCATTGTGATCCAAAAGGGGGTGAAAGATGAGCATGGATGGAGCCTTTAAAGAAATCTTCTATTGCTAAGATTTTGTGGAGACACAGCAAATTGAGTTAGCTTTCTAATGGAAGTGGTTTCAAGTCATTTGAAAATATAACGAAGGAGTTATGACCAATTTACTAGAGGCATATCCATTTTGTTCGAACACCCGTGGAGCGAGGTTGTGCAGCGGGGTCAAGGGATCGGCTCAGTATGGAGCGGACCTGTGCAGCCGGGTGCTAAGGCCGCTCGGCTTTACAGGAAGAAGAAGGAAACACCCCACAGCGGGGTTGTGACCCCGCTGCGCGCTTATGTTTGGACGAAAAAAACTTGCTTTCGAGGACCTTTTTGCAATTTCCGTTTTTATGTTTTGAGTTTCAGAAACCTAATTTTAAATAGGTTGTAAGCCACCAGAGGCAGATTATCTTTGTTCTTGAAGAAAAACAATTGAAATACCTTTGTTTACTTGTCTATTTCATCATCTACATGATTAAACTTGAATCTAACATGAGTTTAAAAGTAATCATGATGATTAGTGAGTAAATCACCATTGAATTCATGGGTTAGGAAGATTAAGGGTGATTAGTCTAGATCTAGGATGTTTTAGTGTAGATTTCTCTTGTTCCCTACTAGTAGAGTATTCCTAATGCTTCTTTTGAGTTGGCCACTCAAAGGTTGATCTCTAGACATTTCCCACTCAAAAAGTGTTCAATGAAATGTCTGAGTCAATTCTCCTAAGCTTTTAACATTCTTTACCAGGGACACTTGTTGTTAAAGGTGTTAAGATAGCTAGTAGACTTATTTTTAATGATTGCTTTCACAATATTCAACCGAAGACATTTGATGCTTGAGTTGTATTAGTAAGTGAACATTCATCTAGATATAGAGCTTGTTTAGAATTGTATCTAGGCTTAAGGTTGATAGTTTAATTGATAGCTTGCCATCCTTAGTTCGAAACTTGATCACCCAAGGTCTAATCCCTATGCCCATGAGTTCTCTTTTTTCTTAGTCAAGAGAGTTATTTTAATTATCGCTTTTCTTATTTTTAGTTATAGTTTAAAACCATAATTTATTCGATTGTACTTAGATTAAGTGAGTATTTGCATTCTCGGTGCTTTGATATCCCTCAGAATTGGTACGACAATCTCTTATACTATATTATTTATTTTTTAAGCCTTGAAAACTACTGACATCAAAAAGATGCGTGGAATAAAACAAACAGAGTTGAAAAGGTGCAAGTGAAATGACAACTTTTCTTATAAACAAACGGTTATAACTTATAACCAATTCACAACTGATGCGGATACAATTCTTAACTGATCAAAGTCCGGGATAATAGATGGGCTATAAAGTTTTTTTTTTTTTTTTGAGGGTTTACAATGACAAAGATAAGTAACATACGAGCTTTCAAAATAAGTAACACCAAAGCTGCAACACATTAATATCTCACCAACACATACACATGGAGTTATTATTCAATGAGACATAACTTTATATCATTGTATATAATAGAATCAACTGAATACACAAACATCCAAAGACAATCAATTTGTCCTTATTACGCATACTGAATATGATTGATGTACTCTGTCAATGGTAATTATCAGCAGATTACGAAAACAATGTCTTGTTTTAAAGATTCCCATACCTCAGACACCTTTTCTGTGGTGCCTGATGTTTGCTGCATCATCATATCATCATACATAAAAGAATCTGTTGATTACTTATCCTATGTTGATGTACTCTTGTGTTCTTCTGGCAGTACTAACATATTCTGTTGTACGTGTATGTATAATAAATTTGTTAATATATTATAAAATGGTTCAATGGTAAATTAAATATTTTGAGAAGAGCACTCTTTTGTCATGCAACTCTTCAAATAATGCACATGTTTTTAGAATATCTAAGAGTTGTGTCTTTTCATAATAAAAAGTGTTGAAAGTTTATATCTTTTCATAAAAAAACTGAAATATATTAGTTTAAAAGTTGCATCTCTTTATTACAAAAACAATTGTGTTTTTTAATAAAGATTAACTATTATTTGAGAAATTGCATCTTTTCATTAACAAAACGAAATTTTGTGTTTCAGAAAAAATAGCTTAAAAGTATTTAAAATAGGTTATACGAGTTGTGTCTTCTCATAATAAAAATTTCTATTATTAAAAATCCCCAATTAATATTTAAACTTGTGTCATTTCATAAAAAAACTGAATACATTTTTTAAAAGTTATGTTTTTAAATAGGACCATTAGATTAAAAACAAAAAAAAAATTATCGAAATGTTGTATCTTTTCATAAAACACTGAAATATATTAGTTTAAAAGTTTCAACTTTTCATTATAAATAAAATTGTGCTTTTTCATAAAAAATTATCTATTATTTGAAAAGTTGGCTTTTCATTATAAATTGGTGTTTCAGAAAAAATAGTTTAAAAGTATTTAAAATAGGTTATAAGAGTTGTGTCTTCTCATAATAAAAATATTTATTAATAAAAAATCCCCAATTAATATTTAAACTTTTGTCTTTCATAAAAACTAAATAGTATTTTTTTTAAAGTTATGCTTTTAAATTATTAAAAAAATATGTCTTTTCATAAAAAAAAAACTCTATTAGTCTCAAGAGTTAACAAAAATTACCAAAGGTTGTAAATTCCCTTTAAATTGAAAGGTTGTGTGTTTAATTTAAACTTTGTAAATTTACTTTGAAGCAATGTGTATTTTCAAGAATTAGTTTATTTGACCGAAGGTTGTGAATCTCCACTGAATTAAAAGGTTATGTTTTTAATTTAAATTTACTTTGAAACAGTGTGTCCTTTCAAGAATTAGTTTATTTGAAAAATGTGTTTATTTTTAAAAAATGTAATAATTTTAATATATTGAAATAATGTGTCTCTTGAAAAGTTAGTTAATTTGAAAGAATGTGTCTATTCAAATTATATATATTTATATTTTTTTTTTTTTGAAAACATGTATCAGTAGAAAGTTGTGTCTTTTCATTTTAACAAAAACGACTATAATTTGAAAAGCTGTTACTTTTGAAAGAATTCTTTGAATTTCTATATATAATGTACGTCTACAATATCATATACTAAAATTTTTACAATCTAAAAAATGGTGAAGAAGAAAGATTCTGTAAAGTTAACTAAATATTAAAACTTGCAACTCTAGAATATATTAACTTTAAAAATTCTGTTAATAAAAAAAACCCTAATTAATATTTAAAATTATGAAAATATATGACAAATATGAACGTGACTCTTAAAATGAAATAGATGTCTCTTGAAAAAAGAGTTGCCAAATATTTGATGACATCATCAATGTTATCAAAATGTATTTTTTGTAAGTTAGATCTTAAATTCAAATAACTTTTTACCATTAGATTGAATTTTTTTTTTCTATAAAAAAATAATGACATCATAAATGGTTTGCTATTATATGTAGATACCAATAATGATGTAAACAAATATATATATATATATTAAATTAAACATCCCCTCGGTTGAACGGGTTAGTTAGCATATAAAACCACAAATCAACAAAATACAAATGGAAACAAAACAAACAATTATTGTTGCAAACGAAACAGTCCAAATAGTTCCGGACTTCCTTGCATGATCCAATTCTTTTGCTGGTAATAACGATCAGTAGGTACCTCGAACGAACGCTTGGAATCGATCTGGAATTATCAGCTTCGTTGCTCCTCGCTCCATCTCCAAATTTAGCTTCAACAAACTGGGCATGGCCTTTTCTTCGATCTGCAACTCATCCAGTCTCACCGTTATCAATTCAAGCTTCCTCAGCCGACCAAAACCTTGTTCGCTGATGCTCATCTTGGCTCCCAACCACTCACATTCTTTCAGAACCAGATCTTCTAATCTCGGAAATTTCTGCAAAATGGGCATTGGGTCTTCCTCGAGACTTGTTCCATCAAGTGTCAGAGACTCCAGGCTAGGAAAGATCACATCCTCTTCGGATTCAGTCGATATCTTGACGGCCTTGAGCTCTAGTTTCAAGACACGAAGATTTTTCAGTTTAGAAAAGGAAGCCAAGTTCAAAGAAACAGATCTATCTCTCTCTTTAACCCGTGTGGGCCAGTCGTAGATCTCCACGTCCCTAAGGTTTATAAGCAACTCATGGTTTAGTTTGCTCCAGCTGTAGGAGGAGACAGATCTCAAGGTCTGGAGGTTGTGTACGTTTCCTAGTAGCAATTCTCCGATGAATTTGCCAATGACATGCCTCAGTGATGTGAGCTTACGTAGATCAGTCGTTCCCTTAAAATAATTAGACCCCGATGCATCTAGTGTCTGTAAAAACTGTAAGTTGGAGATGAAAGTTTGTATGTTCCTCCGACCAGAGTCAGCGATACCCAAGTACCTCAAGTGGATTAAATTTCCAATTGCATCTGGTAAGCTCAAGGGGACATATCCTTTAAAAAGAAACAGAAGCCCTCCAAGGTTAAGCACTCGAAGTAACTTGAGCTTCAAGGTAATGGTTTGAACAAATCCCCCTAGCATCCCCTTCTGCTCTCCAAAGAACAAGAAGGATCGCATTCGTTGGTTAACACGTCTGTCACACAGATCGTTGTTGTTGATAAGGTAGTGAACCACTTCCCTTCTACACGTTGTAGAAGAATGTTGCCCATTGTAAACGTGTACAAAGTTGATCTCTTTCGTTTTCTTGATGGACACGTCTCTAAGAAGATCATGGATTCTACAAGACATTACTTTCCCTCTTTCTCTTCTCACTGCTTCCACTAGGCTTCTGTCTGCTAGCTCCTCGATAATGTACCGAGCCACGTCTTCCATCATCATCCCTTCATCCTCTCGGACAAATCCTTCTGCTACAAATAAGTGTATCAACTGCTCTACATCGATCTCATAGTCCTCTGGGAAGACGCTAAGGTAAAGAAAGCAGAGTTTCAACTCATGCCGCAACTCCTTGAAGCTCAGATCAAATACAGTTGAGATGTGAATGGAGTTGTCTTTTAAGCGTCGCCATAAACTTGTGCACACATCATTCCACTCGCTTGGCCTCTTCCTTGACATAAGCCCCGCAAGAACGACTATAGCAAGTGGCAATCCACCGCATTTTTGAACCATTTCCTTTCCGATTCTCTCCAAATCTTCATCAACCCACTCCATATTTTTGAAGGCTTTATGTTCAAACAATTTCCAACTTTCTTCAAAAGTCAAGAACCTTAATTTATGAGCATACACTTTCCCCTCCACGCCTTCAGCCACAGCTCTGATACGCGTAGTGATGACAACTCTACTTCCTCTATGATTGCATGGTAACGCTCTCTTCAAGCTCTCCCATGCGTCTGGCTCCCATATATCATCTACCACCACCAGGTATCTTTTTCCGTCCAAAATATCATGAAGGTAATCTTCTAACTCCTCCTCTGAAAACATCTTGAGCTCTATCTCAGTAGCTATTCCCAACGATCTTATGATTCTGATAAGCATATCTCTTGTTTTATACTCTTGCGAAACATAAGTCCACCCGCGGTATTCGAATCTTCTCTTCACAGCACCTGAGTTGTAGAGCTTCCTAGCAATTGCGGTCTTTCCAAGACCTCCCATGCCTAATATCGAGATAATATACCTCTTTTCCTCAACATCATCATCAAGTAGCTTTTCCAAAAGCATCTTAGCATCATCTTCCAAACCAACTACAAGCTCTTCCTGATCAACGGGTCGAGCACGTCTAAGCTCACTTACCTTTAAACTTGAAATATTCCCTCCTCCTTGAGGCGCCTCATTGAAGTTTCCTATGCCATAAGTCTCCCGCTTGCGAGTCACATCCGAGATTCTTCTCTTGAGGGTTCTGATATCCTCAGTTATTCTGTATGAATCCATCGTCTCGCCGAATATTGTGGTCAATCTCATAAGTCCTCGTTTTTGTGATCTTTGGACAGCTTTCAGGTTATACCAGTCCAAAACATCTTCAACATCGTAAGCTATGTCTAAAACCAGTTTTGTCCACTCTTTTGAGACCTCGTCTTCTTTTTCACGAGCTTCAACATCCTTTAGATAGCCTTGGATGCACGTCAACTCCGTCTTCAGCTCCTCTAGATCGTCTTTGACTCCTATCAACATCGAGGCTTCGTCGATGAGATAGTTGCCCATCTTTCCCACCACGAAACCTGTGATTGCATCTACCATTTCAAAAGGATGGAGGTGATTCGATGAAAAATTTGAACAAAAGTCAAGATATGTGCTTGTGTTTGAGGATGTTTGTTTTTGGCATCGGTGATAAACAAAAGAGTTCGGAGTAAACGTGAGACCAACATAAAATTCTCATTTGTCAAATTTTAATACAATTATTTCGTAAGAGTTTCAACTGTATTCATGTATATGTTTGAATTAGTCGTATATATATATTTTGAAATGCCGTATTAAATAACAAATTTATAGATTTTTTGTAAGTTGTTCATTATGGGGGCTCGACTAAACCCAAATCTGAAGGTAACATATTTCCAGGGAAAAGAAAAAAAAAAAAAACATATTTCCAGGAATGGTCGGGTCGTAAAGAAGCCAACGGAGTCTAAAACTTGCACTTAAAAAACGTCAAACAATGAAGTTAAGGATGAAGAAACTCTTTCCCGATATCCGCATAACTCAACAAGCAAGCAAAACACTAACATTAACCAATTATTTGAAAGGAAAAAACAAAAAAGGAGAGAAATTGCAGGGCTTGAACAAATCCTTGAAGAGAAAAATGCAAGCCTGAAGTAAGTTACACTTACACGAACTTACTTCTCATAACCTTAGTACCTCTCTCCAAAACGGAAAAACAGAGCGCCAGTGCCATTGTTGTGGTCTACAACATACTCGGCTCGTACCAAACCCAGCTTCACACCTACACCGTACGATGAACCTTGTCCCATCCTCCTATACACTGCTGTTGGGTTCCCCTTCACGTCCTTGGAGCTTCCCAAATCATTTCCGTGCTCAGCGAATGCATAAACATGCGTGTTCTTAACAGGCACTCTAATCTCAGCACCAAGCTGCAATCCATGAAAGAAACAAAAGTTAGAGACCGGGGAAAATATAATGTTGTTTGTTTCATGTGTGTTGTTGTTTTACCTCGAGGATGTTTCTCGCGGCACCAAGCTCCCCCATGTTGTAGCCACGGACGGAATATGGACCTCCAAGAACAAAGGCGTCGTAGCTTGGAAGATCGCCAACACAGCCACCGTAATGTCCGTGGAGGACTAGAACTGGTGGCGGTGGCTTCCCAGCGCCTTCTTCTACTTGCTGCAACTGAATGAATCTTGTCAAGGTCAATTGATGGCGGTTGAAGAAGGGGAATTTGCTTCCAATACCCAAACCTTGATCCACCTACGATAGCAAATAACAGAGTGTAAAGCATAAGGAGTATACACATATCACTTGGCTTCTTTGAGTTAACAAACCTGAAATACGTTCCTCTCTCCAACGACAGCCCCGTTGACAAACTTGGTATTGTCACGGGTGATGTTGGCTTGTAGAAAGGCCATCCGGTCAATGCCAGTACCACTGAGAGTTGTTGGAGGTCCATCAGCACTGATTCCTCCACTAGGTAGTAGTCTCTGACCATTTGCAGCGATGTGACTGCTTTCATCTCGGGTTGTTATCTCCTCCATCACAAGCCCATATGTAAACTTACTCTGACGTGTGAAGTTCTGCATTAAAACATATGCTTGGTCTTTAAGTATTTGAAGAACAGAACAAGATTGACTAAGGCACTGAGTACTCGCAATCTTACCTCAGTTATGTTAGCTTTTACACCAGCTCGATCAACCCAAATTGGCGGCACTTCCTCAACACCTGGTCCTCCAGTGAACACTGGGCTAAGTTTGCGGCTGTTGAAGCAGCTTGTTTTGAATGTACGGTTACGAGGATTGTAAACACCGTCCAGATATGGGTGTACATACTCCATCTTAAACGAAAGATCATCCTGCACGCACAAGGAAGCAGTGATAGATGGATGGTGTCAAGAAAACAGCTTGAGCTAGAGACTTATCAAATATATGAATTAACTACACTTACCTGAGGATTCAAGAAGTTGCTAGTGGTCACTGAACCCATGAGAGACCTGTTAAGACCTTGGATGTTTCGATGTTCAAATGTAACAGAGCCACCTGGCTGGAATGAAGCCTGTCGCACATAAACAACAACAGAGCAAAATCAATTGAAATTTTCAAAAATTTAAACATGTACTTATATTCAAGTATGGAAGGAATTCGTACCAATGTGGGAGCTCCTCCACGGCCAGGAACTATACTCCACTCAGTACTAACTTCAGCTGACTTCTGTTCGAGCTCTTTCAGTTTGATCTCAACAATAATGCCTCCTTCGTTTTTCTCATCTGGGCGTGGATTCACTTCAATGTTAGAGAACAGCCCTAGTGAGTTGATGTTCCTCAGAGCTTGCTTCCCAGCTTCAATGTTAAAAATATATCCTTGGCGAAGCTGTCCACAATTATATAGATAATTATCACCAAAACTAACTTAACAAATGATACACGGACGATTTGTACAAGCAAACTTTGTTCTTTCTAAGTCTTCTTCTTGCAAAAAGACGAATTAAACTACTTATCCTCTAAGGTTTAACAAACAAATGCATCAAGCCTTGTACTATCGGTTCGTTGAAGCTATTAAACCTTTTCACATCCATTAGAATTAATAGCAAGTTCGAGACAAAATCCTACCAATTTTCCTAATACATCTATGAGGCCATCAAAGATACTACCACAATCAAATGCTCACATCAAAAAGATAAGTTAACACTAATAGCAAGTTTTATCAAAACGTTATCGCCTCTAAGGTTTAACAAAAACCAATGCAGCAATCCTGATAAAGTAAGCTAAGCTCATTTAAGCTATCAAAACCTTTCACATTCATTAGAACTAATAGCAAGTTCGAGTCAAAGTCCATCAAATTTTCACGATCTATCTATGGGGCGCCATCCACAATCAAAGCTCACATCAAACAACGAACTAAAATAAACTAAAGAAACATACTTGCTTGGGCAGCTCCCTGCGCACGACAGGAACTTGAGTGTTACCTTCAACAACATTCCCAAGCTTATCTTGAAACTGAATAACCAGCTGGGTAATGTCTCCTTCCACAACTTCACAAACAACCTCCTTCGTATTCAAATTCCCAAAATTAACAACCTGAGCACAAGCATACCCTTCGTCATGGTACCATTTCTGAACACGATCCCTAATCTTCTGCAACAGCCTCGCACTAACTTTCCCTTGATCCCTCAGCATCTGCATCACCTCACCATACACAGGCGCAGGCAACAAACACGGCCTAGCCCTATCGATTCTCCTCTTGTAATCCTTCTCAAGGCTCCTGTAATACTCAAGCTTCTCTTTATCAGTCATGTCTGTATCCATCTCAATTGCCTTTGACTGCACCATTAGCCCCACATTGATACACCTAAACCTATCGGCGGATTGCCAGGTGCTCTCCGCGAAGGAGATGGTGACTCCTAGGGTTCCGTCGGGTTTGGTTTTACCTTCCAAGTCGACTTTCTCGAACATGCCGCAAGTAGCTAGGGTTTCGAGCTCCTTCTGCAATTGAGCTTTGGTGTAGACTCCACCTGGCCGGATCGATACCATCTCGAAGAAGGAGTCTTCAGTGTCGATTGAACTTTGTCTCCTCCGGTCAAAGAACACAATGTCGGAGACTTTATACTTCTTGAAACCACTTAGCTTGTTCAATTGCACGACGATGTTCCCCGGTAAGCCATGAGAATCCCAATCCGGTGACTGTTCCTCATCAGCAACGGCAGGCGCAGGAGAAAACAGTTTCCCCCAAAATCCACCGTCGTCTCCATCTCCACCTCCACCTCCACCACCGAATCCGCCGAAGTTTCCGTCGCCTCCTCCTCCTCCTCCTCCGATTAGGAACGACGGGAGATTCGAGATTCGAAATAGGAAGAATGAAGCGGCGGAGGAGACAGAGGCTACTGCCAGAGGTTTGGCTAGGTTTTTAAGGAGAGATTCCTTTGGGGAGGATTCTGTATCGCGGCTAGGTAAGCTGCTGCTGCTGCTGCATTTTATGGATTGAACGCGAGGAGAGGGTGAGGAGATACGGGGAAGGCGAGAAGAGGAAGGAGATTGAAATTTCCGACGGGGATAGATAGAATTAGGAGTTTTGGAGCTTGTCGCCGCTGGGATGAGCTGCCCGTTTACGGAGAAGGCGGCCATGGCGGAGAAGAGTGAGCAAAGATAAGGTTTTAGAGAGAAGATGTAGTTTCGCAAAGGTATCTACTTTTGGGTTTTATGCAGCTCTTTTAGACTTCATTTCATTTTTTTATTATTAGAAAGAAACAGCCTCATGGTATGAGTTATTTACATTGTGAGTCACTTTCCATCTCTATAATAAGCCCATAAATCACTTCCTTCTTGCACACCCACTTTTTTTTTAACTTCACATTTTTAGTTTTTTTAAAGAGAAAATTACATAAAAAACCTCTAAAGTGGCAGACACTCACAATTTAAACTCTCAAAGTATTTTACAAGCACTTTAAACATTTAGTTGATAAATTTAGCATATTAAACCTCCAATCAGACATACTTATACATCAAGTCAAAAATATAACCGGTACTATTGAAAAACCATGATGTGTCGGGTTTTTTTTTCTGTCCTAAAAGTTATTTTACTAATAAATAAATATAAAACTATAGAAAATATAAAATTCATTAAAAATTCAAAACAATTTGTAAAAAATCATAAAAATTACAAAAAAATCACAAATGTAACTAAATTATTAATAAAATAAATATAAAATACAGAAAATATTTTTAAAAACAAAATCTTAAAAGAAATTATAAAAAATCTCAAAATAAGAAAATTCACAAAAATTTAAATAAAATAAAAAATTTTAAAATAAATAATATAAATATAATAATAGGATATAAAACAAATATAAATTCAAGAAAAAAATATTTTTATAAAAAAAATGAGAAAACGCTGTATTTTAGTGTTTATGGTTGGGTTTTTCTAAATTTTATAACTAGATTAATATAGGGTATATTAATAACTGCTAAAAGAATTGGACATTGACTTGTTTACTTTGATTTGGTTCACGAGAATCATTTGATGGTATATATCAAATACGATTAATTATACGATGACATATATATGATATATAATAGTGACATG